ATTCCATTAAAGACTAACTTTTCTGTTTGACATTTTCAATTTTTAACAGTGCATTGTTTTTGAGGTTGTATGAAAAGGAAGGCAAACTCGAACCCTCTTCTCTCTCTTTCGGTACATATATATAAGATAAAAGACTTCTAAATTTAATTTACAACTGTATTTCCATGTTTAATCTTTTCCATCAACCGCATCACTATTTTTATTGCCAATTAAATAAAGTCAGATAGGATTATGCCCGTCAGAAACTCCAATTAGTGGATATTATTTTATTATTCCACGTGCTCGTCAAAAGTCAAAAAGTTTTTTTTTTCCATTATCAGTTGTTTAGTTTCATTTAATTACGTGCATCACAGCGCTCCAGCGTTCTGCTGCTTCAAACAATATTGCATTTTGCTAATAAAGTCCTAACAAATCCTAATAAATTTCCATTTTCCTTTCCATCATCAATGTAAAAGTAAAAGAAAAATTTACGAAGAAAATGCTTCTACAAAAGTATCTTGGGATCGTGGAAAAATCACTTAATTAACAAGTGTTTTAAAGATGTAGTGGCCAGTGATTCGAAGATGAATTACAGTTGACCGAAAATTTGCTTTAAAGCGATTTCTTATGTTTAACTTCCTACGCAAAATGTTATTCTCCTACGTCAGATGTTCATATTTTGCTTTCCGGTTTAAGGAATGTCATTGACGGAATTAAGTTGCGACTCTTCTCAGAAATCTATAATTGGTAAAAGTTCTATGAGTTTATAGAGTGGAGCTTTGTTTTAAAATGAGTGCTTTGAGTGCGTGGAGCTTTTGTTTTAAAATAAAATTTTATAAATTTGATTTAGGTTTTTTAAAAAGAGTATTATTTATTGTTAAAAAATATTAATTTTTTTCCTCTTAGAATGATTTTGTATTTATAAATTTTGTGGGAGTATTTTTTTATCTTATAGCACTGTATGCTGGTAACTTTTCAGAGAAATTAAGTAATAGATTACTTAATCTATTAGTGATGCTAAAAATCTTTTTTATTATCACTGAGTTGGAAATCTCTATTTTTCCAATAATAATGGAGTGTAAACATAAGAGTCTAAATCTATTTTTTTACAACAATGATATTAAACAGAAATTTCATACTATCAAAAAGTCATTTTAATGATTTTTATTGGTTTAATTACGTATCGAGTATTTAAATGTTTTAAACCTTTCATTTCAGTTAAGCAAATTTATTAAATGTTAATGCCATGATTATTATAAAATGAATTATTGCAAACACGTTTGAATTATTTTGAAACTGAAGTAAAAATAAAAGATGATTAATAATGAAATAATTTTGAACATTATCATTGAATATTTTACATAAATTCTGATTTTAAATATCGTTTAATAAATAATAATAATAAATATTTATTAACATGAATAGTTATAATCAAATTGAATATAAATGAGAGAAAATTTATTTGTATGAAATTAGTAAAATGTGAAATTATGCTTAATTATATTGCATTAATAACTGAATGTAAAGAGAAGACTACGATGCAGGAATTATTGGTTAAAAATCACGAATGACTATTTTTCTCATTTCCCTCAAGTACCAGAAGAGGTGAAGGCTACCACCGATATGAATGTATGTAATAATCCAATTTTTATAGAATTAATTATAACATGAATTGTAGAAGGTTTATTTTAATTTCCTAACAGTTATTTTTATTTTAGAACAAGCCTATCCTTTACTTCTTTGTTTCGTTTCCCACCTACCAGAATGCGTTTTGAGTATCGCGTTTTATGTAAATTAGGTAGAAAAATTTATTTAAGTTGAAGTCTCGGTCAATTCGGTAGAAGATTTTCCTACAGCGTGTTTTGCCTTTTGGCCACTTTGTTGCTTTAATTCTAATCTTAGGACTTTTCTGCCGGATTGTTACATGGCTGCTAGTAATTGCCGATGATCTTAAGGGACAATTTTTTTGTTATTTCTGTGGAGCCTCGACATTAAATTAGTTTCTTATTTTCTGTCTTAAGGTAAAGCCCAAGTGGATGCTTACTGTTAGCCCGAGACGAAGCCATCTGTAAATTTCTTTTGCGTTGGAATAAAGGGTAATTTAAACCTTCTTTGGACTTTTCATTTAAGTACGTGAATTCCGTGATACTTGGCTACACAGTTCATAAGTATTCTAGCTTTCAAGGATTATTAAATTAGCTAGAAAATACAGAATGTTTTATTGTAACTGTCAAAGAGCTAGTTACCGTATGCAAGGAACGGGGTTTTTTCAAACAACTATTCGAATACTCCTTAAGCCTAAATTTGTATCACGAGAATCTAGTTTTTTAAAGAACTTTGAAGTCTTCAGTTAGCATAAAACTAGAAAATAAAGGAGAAATAGAAACAATAATTAAACTATAATTTTAGTAGTACATTATACCATTTATAATATATTATAGCAGTGTCAATAGGTAGATTATATACTGGAAAACGAGAATTTTAGAAATTTATGTCCTTGGTTATGTATTAAACTGTATTCAAATGAGTAGATCATATGTAAAAATATTGTATGTTTCCTTTACTCTGTGATAAAAATAAGAAAATTTGAAAGCCTTCCTTAAATTGAAAATAAATAAAATTGAAGTGAATTTTAAAAAGTTGAACTCAAGGAAGCTTTAATTATTTTTGAAGTTCATACAGATATAAATCCAAAGCGTGGGTCTGTTAATATTTCTTACAGCTGCTCTTTCACAAAGATAAAACAATTAGTAAATGTTGTTTAGTATGTGAATTTTATTTTATTCTATTAAATTACATTGTATAGAGACATTAGGGTATTTTTGAAACAGGAAGAAGCGAAAAATGAGCAATTCTTTCGTCGAGAATCGAACCACAGACCTCTGGAATAGGCGCCCAGCGTGATGACCACTACACTACGAAGGCCTGTTAAGAAATACCTTATATACACACTCTTTTAAATGAAGACTGGGGTTTAGGGGACCCAATCGCCAAATCCTGAGTGTGGAGAATCCACACTTTTAGTTCGGGCGCCACTGTAGAGACATTAGATTAATTGGAAGCAGGAGCGATGAAAAATGAGCAATACTCTCGCCGGGACTCGATCCACGGACCTCTCGAATCCGCGCCGAGTGTGCAGACCACTATACCACGAAGGCCAGCTAAGAAGGCAGGAGAAATACCTTAAAACATCTATTTCAGTTATGTTTCCCAAGTTATTGATTCAATTTTTTTAGGCCCACCAGCGGTCGAGCGGTAAAGACGCTGAACACTGGTAGTTCGGTTCGAGGTTCGAATCCCGCGAACGGGCTGGCTGCATGGGCGTTTTCGTGGTTTTCCCCATGTGTAACGTGTATACGAGCCAGTTTCCCCTTAGAAAGTCCTCCACGAAGGCATCCCTCCCTTTAGACTGATAGTCCTCGTGTGCTCTGCCATAACTGAGTAATCGAATCGAATCCAATTGTTTTTTTAATTTGTGTCCTCCTGTTAGGAATTTTACCATAATTCTTCCATATTAATTACATATTTTAACTTTTACTAAATTATTTATATAATTTGGGAGAATTTTGCTTGGCGTTAATAGTGATAATTTATTAATTTATTAACTGCTCAATTTCTGATCAATATATCTATATCTATCTAGCTATGTATTTATATGTTAAATAATGCATGCATTTAGATAAATAAGTACATTAAAATAAATGCATACGCAATGGAAACAAAGGTAAGTTAATGCAAAAATAAAACACAATTCTCATATTAAATAACAGTGGAAAATCCGTTCGTCTTTGTCAAAAAGCAGCCGAAAGAATTATTAACAGAGCCCCGTTTCTAAATTATATCTGGATGAATTATAAAAATAATTAAAACTTTCCTTAAATTTAACTTATATTAATTTAAAGAAGGCTTTAAATTTTTTCTTATTTTTATCTAAATATAACGGAAATAAAAAACATTTTTACATATCCTCAACTCATTTTGATACAAGTATAATCAATCAATCACAAAAATTTATAAGATTCTAATTTTCCCGTATAAAATCTATCTTTTTACACTGTAAATGATGTAATATCCTAAAAAAATTATAGTTTAATTATTGTTTCCATTCCACCATTGTTTCCTCATTTTATACTAACTGAAGATTTTAATGTTCTTTAAGATTCTCGACATAAAATTTGCTCTAATCTTCTTTAACTCAGTAATAGTTAAGGTGTGTTCAAAGAGTTGCTTGGAAAAAATCCCTAGTTCCTTGCATAGGGTAATTAGCCCTTTGACAGCTGCAATAAAACATTTCTTATTAAAAAATATTTCAATAAAAATTGTATTATTACTTTCACTGAAATTTGTGGTAATCTTCACCTTTTATGACATTTGAGGGAAAAATAATCTCTGCGATTTCGAACCAATACTTCATACACCGTACTCTGTTGTTTACATCTCTCTATATGAATCTCTCCGTGTCGTCCTGTTTATTATCTTATAAGGTTACATTATCATGTGTCTTAAATTAACCTATTATTGTGATCTGGATCTGTACTTCTTCTTTCCATCTCCTCAACCAGAGTGCAAATGAGTAGAGGTTATTTAAACCAGCGGTCGTCAACCCTTAGAACTTCACGGACCACTACATATATAATTTTATATTTGGTGGACTACTAATATGAATTTAAAAAAAGGTAAATACATTTATACAATGATAATCAGCAAACTACGTATACTTCATTCACATTGAAAAATTACATGAAAAGTACAAAAATCTGACCTTCTTGAACAGAAAGCTTCACATTTCCATATCACTGAACATGAACTTCACGAAAACCAAGAACAAACCGGCAAACGCAAAGCAATATCAATAACCTGACAGTGTTATGCCGCCAAATTTTTAATTATTGTAAGCATAATAATCATCGCTTACTCATCAGTGGCGTCATCGATCAACAGTTAGACAAAACAAACACGGAATCTTCCAGTGATACAATTATAAACAAGAATGTAAATGGTTCTCATAAAAATCCATCAAGATGCCTATTGACACGGAGGAAAACTCTGTTACTAACGACCACAACAGCATAGGTTTGTAATTCAAAAGGAAAGAGAATTACATTTCGCGCTAATATTGATAACAGCGGCATATCCATGGATGCCGACTCTCACTTTCGAATGTCGCTAGATACACCTGCAAAAGTAGCTAAATGGTCGCTGAATTCAAGAGGAATTTCGCTAAAAGTAGTAGCTATTTTTTTTTTTAAGTATAATCCATATTCCATAATAGGTTTTGTTACTCGTCGTTTTTTAAATTGAATCTTCATAAAAATATAAATAATGTCCCACTTTTTCTGCGGACCATCAAAACGTTTTCACGGACCACCCACCGGTTCGCGAGAGCTGATTTGAACTGAGGGTTTTGGAGTTTTAAGAAAGAGCGTGTTTCCGGTGCGCTTGCACTCTACGTTTATTTCCTGCTAACTCAGTTGTAACTACACTGGTGGGCAAAAATTAAGGCAAGACGGTTTTTTTCAATAAAACGTTATGCAAAGTTTTTCAAAATCAACAAAAATAATACCCTAATATACCCAAGATGGATCCCCCAAAAAGATATCAAATGATAGAAAGGAACTTTATTAAAAAAGCAGCATGGAGCACAATGCAACAGAAGGCCGAAACATTCATGTGACAGGTGTAGGTGTCCAGCGAGTAACATCCGGCCTTTAGTAGAGGATATGATCTCCCTGACTGCTGTTCAAATTTCCCATCATTTGTCCACACTGAATATGACGTTGTCAATGAGTTGTTGAGGCATTACTGCCCATTCTCTTGCAGCACTAATCGCAGCTCCGGAATCGTTACTGGCGATAAGTTACGTGCTGCCACGCGTCTTTCTAGAAAGTTCCATACATCCGATGGGATTTAGATGCAGAGACCTTGCCGGTCAATATCCTCACTCTCCAATAGCTCTTCGACAGCAACTGTGAAATAAAGTGGAGCGTTGTCGTCCATGAAGAGGAACTGAGGATCCACAGCACCTCTGAAAAGACGTATATAAGGAAGGAGAATTTTGTTACAATAGCAGTCAAGGTGATTGAACCTCTTTGGAAGATATGAAGGTCGTTACAGCTACCAAGAATTTTGTATCCCCAAACGAGAACGCTGCGACCTCTAAACCGGTCCCTTTTGATGATCTTGAAGGGGTTATTGTGAGTTCATAGTTCTCTCCAGATGTGTATGCTTCTAGAATTGCAACACCATACAGGCCGTCGTGCAAATAGACCACCATTGTGCAACCTTCTGGCCATGGTAAAACGCAATATCGCTGTCATTCGATAGCCTGTTCCGACCATTTCTTCTTGCCTATAGGACAATATATGGGTCTTTCGCTACAGTGATTGCTCGTGGACAACCACTGTTGAGCCGTCCGATAGCTGTTCCTAAAATTTGAAATGCTCTCCAAGTCGTAAAAAACTGCTGTTAGCAATCCTGAACTTCCCAGCAAAACTTGTCACACTTCGATTTTCTTCAGTCTTTTCAATGATTCGACCTCGTATAAAAGTATCCAGATGTCGTCTTTATTCTTCAACATTTCACACTGATGTAGCAACTCGACATCGTTTAAACAGATGTATGCCGGGCAATAGCTTCTCGAAAATGCTGAGCTCACACCTTCAGCGATCTTTACACCCCTCCGACACTCCCCCATTATGTCTAGCTGTATATATGCGCATGTACTAAAGACTTGACCCTAGTCGATATCCTGATTAGTCTATCTTTCCGAAGAAGTAATTTTTAGTATAGGCAGATAATTCTCGCGTTCTTTACCACATTTAAATAAACCATTCGAAGCCCGTGTAAGATACAGAGTACAAAAGTAGGAGAAGTAAAATTAGGGAACTATTTTCTTCTTAATATGTTTCAATGAAATTCTAAATAAAAAATGAAGCATATGATTATAATGTTTTGTCTATATCTTCTGTAATTTACATAGGCATGATTTTAATAAAAATCACTTAATATAATGCGCATATTAGCATTGTAGAAACATTAGGTTATTACGAAGCAAGAGACCATAAAAAATGTGATATGCCCTCGCCGGGCACGAATCTCGGACCTCTCGAATACGCGCCGAGTGCGCTGACCATTACACCACAAAGGCATGCTAAGAAGGCTGGAGAAATACCTTATATACTCCCCCTTTTAAAGCGCGACTTGGGAGTAGGGGACCCACTCGCCAAATCTGGTGGTGGAGAATCATCATCCCCTTTTTTAGTTTCTGCAGAGGCGCCACTGTAGAGACGTTAGGTTATTTCGATGCTGAGACAGGTGAAAAATTAACAATGTCCTCGCAGGGACTCGAACCACGGACCTCTCGAATACACGCCGAGTGTAGTGACCATTTCACCACGAAGGCATGCTAAGAAGGCGGGAAAAATACCTTATAGCATAAATTACATATTAGCACACTAATCAAACAACGCCAAATGGAAATGTCTAGTTTTATCCAAGCTGTTATGAAAGAACTTAAAAAGTGCAGGGTGTATTATTGAAATTTGATATAGTATGGAAGAATATTTTCAAGAATATTTCTCCTGTTTACGTAAAGAAATCCCTTTACAATATCTGAAGTTCTGCTTTATACAACATTCAAATCTTTAAATAAACAAATTGAGATAATGTTTTTTACGTTTATCCCAACTTTGAAGTTTATGTTCTTGTGAATACAATAAGAACAAAACCTTACTGTTAAGATATTTTAAATTGTAATTTTTAATATTCAGAAGATCTGATTCATTAACTTTTACTATTTGTCTTAAAGGAATAATAATAGAAAATGTTTTAAAGACCATTGTTTTAAAAATTAAATCCTTACACAGGGAATAAATTTGAATAAACGCAGGCTCAAAAAATTTTTATCAAATATTAATTATTAACACTTCAATCAGAAATTGAAATTTTATGTATAATCTACTGCGCATGCTTTATATACTCGTAATTTTAAGCAATAAAACAATAATAAAAGAGTTATACGAGGAATTGGATTTTATGATTGCTAGATTAATCTCATTTTATTTCCTATTCTTTGCTCAATAGTTTTGCAGTTATTAATCAGCAAAAAGTGAGTGTTTTAAAATTTTTTCTATTGTTTAAGAAACATAAAATGGATTTAAAATATCAGGGAAATTATTTTTAAGCAACAAAATTTATTTTGTATACATGTTCTATACAACAATATGCTGTATCTCTCAAGCCTGAATATAAATATACATATGTCCAAAACAACTAGTACTTAACACTCTTAGCAACAAAAAGCCTAAATCTTTTCTTTTTATTTCTTTTTTTAATGTAGCCGGAGATGCTTTCCTTAAAATAATTTCAACTCTATCATCAAAAGTTAAGGCAGCCTTACTCATTTGAGTGCCTTTACTGATACAGCAAAAAACGATCTGGCGTTGCATCAAACTTAGAATTTAAACATATAATACTAATATTTGTTAAATTCTAATATTAATTTCAAATGTAATTTTTTTTCCAGATTCTATTAATCGGAGTAGTGACTTGAGACTTGTAGTCGTATCTAATGGGGTTGCGATACTACCATGTGATTCCAAAGCTGAACCTTCATCTCCTGTTCAGTACCGTTGGACAAAAGATAATTTACCAGTCGATGTATTCAGCAATGGGCGTATAAATATAACAAGCGAGGGTCATCTGTTGTTGAAAGATGCCATGGAAGAAGATAGCGGCGTATATGTATGTCAAGCTTCTACTAATGACATGGTCACTGAAGTCAATGTAACTCTCATAGTCTTAGGTAAGTTCAAAATATTTCCTACATATTACCTGTAACAACGACCATGCTACTATTTCATGAAATATTTTATTCAAGTAAATGTGATTCTTTAAAATAGTTTTCAGAGAATTAATTTTGGGATGTTCAAAAGGAGTAATACATGTAATAAGAGTACATTTTAAATTAATTCCGAGAGCTTAAAATGTTCTAGACTTAATAAATCAAGTTAGTATTCAGATAGTTGATTGAGCAGCTACAGGTCATTAATAAAAACAGTCAGTTTCATATTTTAAAGAAACTCAATGGAGGGTGCACAAAAATGTTTCTCATACATATTTAGCAATCCCGGTAATGCTAATTATGAACTGAATTTGCTTGTATACCAAATAAAAGAGATCCAAAAATAAGTAAACAATGAAACAAATATATATTTCTGTAAATTTCTAATATAAATTACTAATTAAATTAAATAATTAATATAATTAAATTTAATTTCCAATAAAAATATAATGTAAATACTTCGAATATGCATAAATCACTAGTAGTTATGCAATATTAGAATTCAAAGATTTCGTTGTTATTGTTGCATATGGCATTGCATCAGGTAAGATTTCATAGAAGCTGCAGTTAGCAAAAGAACTGCAAGAACAGTAATCGAATGTTGTTATTATTTGGCAAAGCGTTCTTAGAAATGAGTAATTACATAAAGACTGCCGGTGCAGCTTTGTGAATTTTAGATAGGTTTCAGGAGACACGGTTATACACCACTGATTATAGCAGATCTGAATAAAATAATAAAACAAAAATGAGAAAACTGGTTCTTTGAATGATCTTCTAGTAAGAAGAAGATAAAGTTACTATGGCTGAGTTGCAGACGTATTAGCTACTCTACTGGCATCTTCGATATGTGGAAAAGTAGGTTTCAATGTACATTCCAAATTCATAGGAATAAAAATTCTTGATGAACCTGAACTTCTTCTTGCTACTACAATAAAACCTTTTGATAGATTTCCAGAGAAATGCATTTTCTTTCTCAAAGAAAGCTAATTTCTTCGCAGTAATGTTACATTAAAATATTTTTAGAATTCTCTAGGCACCTTGTGAACGTAATTGTTGAATAGCGTATTAGTGGAGAATTCCGTAGTACCTGTAATCAAATAAATAAGCAATATATTAGTAAATTTGCAATATAACATTTTTAGAAATAACAAACGCTATATGATTGGTTGTACGTGTTGCTACTATATGTATAATGTTAAACACTTTTATTCCAAAATAAGGAGAAGAACATATAGCTGTGCTTTCATTGACGCTCTGCAGATATCCAGATACTATTGAAGAACAATTATATTCTTTTTCACTGTAGATGGGTGTTTCATCATTTGGGAACAAAGTAAAAATATAAAGCTCATGAAGTCCGTTTTCTGCCCATATATTATTTTCTCTTTTTTCTGAAATAGTATGCCTTATGTTTATTATTAAACGAAATTTTAATTATTATTATTTATGCTTTAACTATAAAAATGTCAATCTTTCCTTCGCCTGATGTATAACTGCATATTTATTGCCGTCTTTATATCATATTCACTTTCGATTTTGCACTGAAAATGTAATATGTGCAGTTAATGAAATATGAAAATTATTAATACTTCAAAATAAGTTTATTTTCATAATAATTTTTCCATATATTTAAACATTTTTACATTTTTCAAGGTATTCGTTTCACAATCACGAGTCACAAAAACTAATTCCGTCACTTCCCTTTGCTTAAACAGAAAGCTGTATGAATTTGACTACTAACAGAATTAAAAAAAAAAAAAACATTCTACTACATTTTTCAAATATCAATGAAAATGTATTGACATCCTTCATAGGTTTTTAATTTTCATAGACAGTCTCTATCAAGTAATTTATGTTTTATTTTTGCTTTCATTTAAAATATGTTACTCAGGGAAGGGTCTACTGACATCATCATATGGTAAGTTTTGCTCAAAATAGATGCAGCGCCAACAAAAGGTTGAGTCGAGCTTTTCCTCTTATTAACACTTAACTCGCAAAATTATGGTCTAGGACAACAATTATTAATTTACCTCAAGTTTATATCTCTAAGGTAACATCACTTTATGGAAAGGATTTTAAATGAAATATTTTGCTTGAATTTTTACAGCCGATATCTTCTATTAGAGCTTTAGACTAAAAAAAAATAATGTAAAGCCTTAATGCTTCATTTGAAATGACAAACAGTAATTCTAAAGATTTTAAACAAATCATAGTGATTCATTAAAGATGGCGTTCTACTTACAGTCCAGACGAAAATGATTTCCTAAATCACAGTGCCAGTTTTTTATGTCATGGTATAAATTTGTTATGTAGAATAATTTTAGTTGAAATTTAAATATAAAAATATTAAATTATAAGTCTTTAAATTTAAATTAAATAATGATTAATAGCTATTACGTACAGTGATTATTAGTGTAAATTATTAGTATAAATGTAAGTGAATATAATCTAAAAATATCCAAATAAAAGTGATCTTAACTTGACCGAACAACCCATCAGTGGATCTTGGAAATAATTACAATACTTAAATGGTTTAGGTTCCATTTATTTTCTGACTTGAAAAGTGTTAAATTTTCACGTCAGCCTGGGTTACTTATCGAATTTACAAAATCAATTTTAAAGGAAAACATAAGCATAAATTACCACGAGTAAAATGTACAGAGCAAGAGGGTTCACAAACATAGTCCTTATTGAGAAGGACTGAAACCCCAATTCAGAGCACTGAGCACAGGAAACGCTGATTCTATTAACATGTTCAGGATGCCAGAGAAGATTTCTCTAGCTTTCTGTTCGGTTGGGAATATTTCATTTTTCGCCTAGGAAGGATTTCGTTATTTCCCAAGAATACTGCTAGCTGGGATCGTTGGGTGAAGACTTCCACAGCGTCTGCCTTATCTTCGCAATTCTCGATGAAAGGCGCTTGTCGAAGTCGAGTGCCCTGTCTTCTATGTGGCTGCTGCCTTCAGCTAATCCGTTCCAGTTGTAAATCTCCATTCAACTAAGCAGAGGTTTCGAAAGGGTTCAGCCGCCCATCTTGGCTTTCTCAGTTCGCTGTTTCGGTCCTCTCACAGAAAAGGGGCATCTGGGGTCATTACTCCAAAACTATTTCGTGTCCGCCACCACGTTCTCACATAATGGCTGCTGTTCGTCCAAATTCCTCTCTCTGCCTGCCCCCGGCAACCGGATTAAGGGAATTTATTCGTCACCAACTTTTGCCATTATGTCCAAATAAGGCAACGCTCTCCGATCGTGGCCACTCTCCCACGGCAAGAAACCAGTTTGTTTCTCTTAGAAGGCAATATCTCCCCGTTTCCGAAGGCTCTGTATTCATTAGACGGGGATCACGCATTATCCCCTTGCCAAAAAAGAAAAACCCTTTTAAAATCGTTCTGTCTTATTCTCTTTACTTCTAGAATGTTTTCTAATGTTCTCATGCTTAAACTTCGTAAGAGTAGTATAATTATTATTTGCTTATATACATTATTTACAAGTATATGTTAGCAGTTAGAAACCAGTTCTTCTAATTACAAATTCAAATAAATAATGCTATTATGAAATACACTTATCATTTAAAAGATGACATAACAAAACCCGGCAATGTTCTGCTTGAGTAACAGAAAATTTATTTCTGACTTAAAAATTTCGTTTTTATATTGTAATTTCTTTTTAAATCAACAGAGACTAATTTGTAAGGAATTTTTGATTGAAGCGAAAGTTCGTAAACTTCATGCTCGCCAAAGAAACAGGATAACCCGAAACCTCAAAAAATTCAAAATATCGCGTTTGTTGAGAAAAGGATTAATCAGATGATGGAATTTTGTTGAACTTTCTCTCAGTGCAACCTTCATTTAGTTTTTGGTTGCAAAGAAAATGTCGCGTTTATTAGATATTATTTTATTCATCAGATTTTGTATCTTGAAGATAACTTTATTGTTTCTGAAGTGAAACATTTACCTGACAGAATATTTTTTTGACAGCATTTCAGGAATTGAAGGAACGGAGACAACAAAATTTTGAAAAAAAATCAAAAAATTGATTTCTACGAAAGCACCTAGAAATTCTATGAATTTATCAAAGGATATACAGAGTTGGAAAAGATATATGCAATGACTAAACAGTAGTAACGAAATTTTAAAATAGAAAAAAGAAAGTAAAAAAAAAAAAAAACGTTTCTTGAGGTAGAATAGAAATAGGCTAAGGAAAAGTGGAAAGTTAGGGGAAAGATGCAATTTAGATTGACCTAGAGTTTGAATAACATTCTCTCTATTCAGAAGGGGATCAGACATAGATTCCTCCTTTTTAGAAGTAAACACATCATGGCAAAACTAATTTGCTTTTAGAGAAGAGGAACATATATCTGATCACCCTTGAAATTCGTAAAATTTTATTTTAAGTTTATTCCAATCTAATAATGCTTTTATGGCTAATTTTGTATTTAACTTTCGAGCAAAGCAATAAATGGTGTTTCAATAAACACTTTGCTCTAAAACTTTATAAAAGAATTGTTTATATTAGTAGGAAATATTTTCACTGCTATAACGATCTTTTGTTATTACAATGTTTTCAAATCCTGCTATGAAGACTTTGAGTGTAATAATTACACGTTACTTTAACTATTTTGCCATTATTATAAATAACATACTTTATAAAATATTTTTTTATTCCTGTCGTAGTGCCCGATGTCTCCCCATACTTCACTAATTTTTCTGAGCCTAATGTTACGATTCAACGTACAACGAGTTCTTCTGTGACACTTCGGTGCCCAGCCAAAGGACATCCTACTCCATCAATAAAATGGATAAAAGACGGAATTCAGTTTGACCAAAATATGACAAAACCTCCTGATACTAAAGTGGAATTTGGAAGGTGGTCTCTTACATTAAAAAATATGAAAGTGGCCGACAGTGGTAATTATACTTGTATCCTCACCAATAAACTCGGAAGTATCAACGCTACGTTTCAGGTCCAAGTTACTCGAAAAGAAGGAGCTTCCACCTTTAGTAAGTCCATTTTTGCTAGTATGAAACTGCGAATACGTTTAAAGATTAATACCTTTATCTTTTTTCATACAGAATAGTTTGCTAAAAGGTGATTTTAAGAAACGTATCATTTAAATATAATATTAAATTTAAATACAATTTCATGCATTATTTTATAACTGCTATGTTTACGTAATACATTCGGTTCTGGTTTATCATATTGCAGTTGAATTTCAAGGTCCATATTGTGTAATATATGTAATTACTTAAATGTTTAATTTCTTTTTCCTGTTAGAAAACTAGAAAACAGCAATACTAAAGTCGAAATTAAAAGACGAAAACACCTCCAAAATTTCAAAAGGAAAACTAATAAAATTATTTTGCTATGCTGTATTGATGGAGTTGTATGCAAACTCATATGACTTATGTTATTGAACTTGTAAAGAGCGAATATGTCTAAATTAGAGTTTATAATTCATATTTAAAAGTTCATAATGACAGAAGGAGCATCACAAAATTATTCGTGCGGTGCAAATTCTCAAATTAATTATAGTGTAAAGGAAAATATTTTAAGCTCGGAATATCAAGAGCGATATATTTTATGTCCTGAACTGACATGCGACATTTGACTAATTATTCTTAAATTCGAAGTATGTATTGCATCAATTAGTTATATTTTGATAATGTACATAATATTTACTGAGTCAATCAACTAGTTAAAAGTATAATATGTCATGCATTTAAGATTTTTATCTTCCTGCTCTGTCTAATATAAATAATCATTACGAATTAAGCAATGAATATTTTTCTTTGAGAATAATTTGCTCATGATTACATTTCCGAACACCTTATACGCTTCTTATCATATGATGGTTAATTTGATGAGGAAGTTAATAGCCCTTTAAAATGTCTAACTCCACGGTGATTAATTGAAGCGTACCGCCTCTAACGTCACATATTTTTAACGTAAAAGTAAAGCACGCAATGTAATATTTATTCTCCCAACCTGCTTTCATTTTATATCCCTTCTTATTGAAACTATATTTCAAGGTTAAAGATAAAGTACAATTTCATTCTTCTAGGTTTCCTAGCAAAAGTTTTAGCAGCAGGAGAAACGTTCATCATCACTTGCACAACACAATTTTATTTAAGCCGAATAAAAGGAGTTTAAGGGAAAGTGTTCGTAACACTAACCTGGCACTGCCCAAAAATCTTCCTTCAAGATTCGCTTATCCGTCACCAGTCAAGTGGTTACAGTTAAATTTAATCAAAGTGTCAGAAAAGAACATGAAAATTTATTTAAGAATTATAAAATGCATTTCATACTTTAATTGTGTATTCAAATGAAAATATTTTGGCCGTCTTCAAAGCAGCTATTCAGACTATCAGAGAGTTACGACGTAAAATATTTGTTACAAGTAAAGATTAATTTATGTGTCTAACCATACTTTCTTTCCTTGGCTGAATTACGAACAATGACATGTACAAAAGAAATAAATCAAAATGAAAATTCGGAAAGGTGTAACTACATAACTTGTTTATAGAATAACAGTAAAAGTATAAGGTATTTCTCCCACCTTCCTAGCGTGCCATCATTGTGTCGTGGTTCTGCACGCTGGGCGGTATTCCAGAGGTCCGTGGTTCGATTCCCGGTGAAGACGTTGTAAATTTTTTATCTCTCCGGCTTTTCCAATTAACCTTATGTCTCTACTACAAAAGAAAAATAAGGGATTTAAATCTTTAATAAAGCTGGAAAAAATTTATGGATACCAAAAGCTCAAGACAATCCTAATCGTCGCCGGATGAAGATGTGTTTTGAATAATATTAATTTTGGAAGAATAACTTTTAAACACATGCTAATAATTAAACAAATATAAGCAAGGAATGATTTATGAATTTCTGTTTTCCAAACGTAGGTTTTGCACTCCTTAGTGATAAATGTTACTGCTCGTCTCTTTCACTAATATATATAAATAGGCACAATGGAAGACAATTTTAAAAGTTCCTCTGGATTTCTTATAAAAAATAAAACATTTAAGGTCTAACATAACATTTTGTTTGTAGATAAAAGAAGAGAGACGGAAATTTAATTTTGAAACATGTATTAATTATAGGAAAAATACCAATAAAATTGCTAGGATTGTTTCAACGTAAAAGTGATTATCGTATTACAAGCGTAATATTTTCAGTAATTTATTGAATGACTAAAGGTAAATCCTATGTTGATTGTAACTGTTAAATTAACATCAAATATGAAAGAGTAAGCAGTGGAGTACGGAAAAAAAAGGAAAGTGGAGGGAATAAAGCTGTTTTCCAGTTAAATAGAATATAAGAACTTGGCGTTTAGAAGCACGCAAAGAAGTCTTTTCAGGGGTTTATTTTACCTCTCTAATAATTATTTTTATTTTGAAACAAGCCTTTCCTTCTAATTTTATACTCACATTATCCTGCCAGGATGAGTTTTCAGTGTTACAAGCTTTATGCTAATAAGGTAGAAATGAGTATTTAAGCTGAGTTTTGAGTTACTTCAGAAGAAGAGCGTGTTCTGCCTTTCGGCAGCGTTGTTGCTATTAGTTAAAACTTGCTATTCTACGGTCGTGCTTAATAGGTATCTGTTAGTATACGCCGGTTATCCTAAATCAAAGGCCAACGCTGTGAGTTTGATTCTGTACATCTTCGGCTAATTAAATTTATCTAGTGTTAGTTTCGTTTATACTTTCTACTTTGTGGTAAATTCCAGATGGAGGTTTCTTGTACACCCAAGGGGTACAAGAAACTAAAAGTATACTGTAAATATACTTTATACTTTTAGTAAGAATAAAAGAGTATTTTAGCCCTTCTCCTGAGTTGTTTCTCACTCACAAGAACTCAGCGAATAATCGCTACATAGTTCTTCAATATTCTAGCTTCTAAGGAACTCTATTTTAGCTAGGGTATTACAGCTTTGGTACACCATGATCCTAAAACTATATTCCTTGTGAATGAGAAAGATGGGTACTTCCTTATTATTATGGCCACCGTTTTGTAAATGGCATCTAGACCATCGATCAATTGCTAATGTAAACTGTCTTCAAATAGCAAACTGTCTTTTATAGTTTGCTTGTGAAGAGATGAGCTCCGAGTAAACCACGTGTTACCATAATTATTTTTTTTCATATAATTGTTAACTATTCAAGAGCACTCATAATTTTCTCATCACAAGAAGATATCCGAGTATTCCACTTGTCAAGGTATTTTTATTTTTCATAAAAATGTTTTAAATGTTAGATTTACGAATAGTGAAGAAAATGCATATGTAAACAGGGGCCATTTACCTCGTATTCGAATATAGGAAAATGATCTTAAAACAATACATATATTAATGTAAACAATTAAAAGTATTGTAAAAAGGAACTAAAACTCAAACAGCCAATAGTAATTTTACAGCAGTATTAACTATCAAATACGAGTAAAAATGCATCGAGAACCAAAATTAATACGGTATTTTTCACTCTGCCATTAACTAACAGAATTTTATCACATACATTTAATTTGTTAAAATATTATACATATTTCTGAACAAGTTACAATATTTCTCTTTTTTAAATCGCAAAATCAAATAGCATAACATAAAAAACTAAATTTTATGCAAATTTATTTGACTTTGAATCCGTATATGTTCCGAATACTTTGTTTTGATATTTACTTTGACTTACCTTTGAGTTTTTAATGTATATTCAAAATATGTCAATTAAGTACTCAGAGTTTTTTAAAAATTAGAAACGTTGCAGAGTTTACATTGAAGCAACTTGCTCTCTTAATACAGACACGAACGGTAATCAAACAGAAGGTTTGTAAAGGTCTGTTTTGGCATGGCTTTGAGAGAAGAATATCCCATTCCTTTTAATTCCTTCCATGAAGAGAAAAACTTTCCTTTGAAAGGACACTTGAATTTTGTGAAGCAAAAGTAATCACAAGGAGAAAAATCTAGAGAACACGCAGGATACCAAGTACACATAGTTATTTTCAGGACAAAGCGGTTATAGGAAGTGGTAATTTACGAGTTGTGAAGTGGATTATCGTGCAATTCAACGGTTTCCGAATGAATAATATGGCAGACAAATTTCTGAACTAATCGTTTGCTTAATTCTCAGCTATTTACTTCAGCTACTCAACAAATCATTTAAAATTATATTACTTTGACATCTCAGCCTGTAAGATAAACCTATCTCTTAATTTAAATACATGTTTAATCTTCCCATGGTGAATGACGCAGGGAGATAATTGTCCATCTTTAGCTTAGATTCAAAGAAAACCAAGTAAATACAATAACAGCAAATGTAACTGAAAGTTTATATGCATTACCGGCTTGGTAGTTTAAAAAACTCGTTAATACACTCTGCAGTTTGTACCTAAAATACAGTAACATTTTAAATATTTCCAAGTTAAATAGCAAATTAGAATCTGTAGGTCTGCTAAAGTTAAAATCCTGCAGATTCTACTGGACACATAGCGAATTATCGTAACGATTTAAAAAACTTATAAAGCACAGGAAAAGGTTTAAACAACCTTTTTATTTCACTCTCAATTTGAAAATAAAAACACAACTTGTGCTGCAGACGAATTTTCCACAACATGTAGCTATTTTAAATTAACTGGACAACCAACTAAATTCGAACGCCAATACATAGTCTAAGACGGTGTAGGGTTTATATTTATTTTTAACTAACATTTATTTTAAGTTTAAGCTATATTTCCTGTCAAGCCTTTACTTTCCCCTAGAATTGCCAATGCCAGAGTATGTAAATTGTAGTAGAACGCGCAGTATATTCAAATTTTAGCAGAAGTAAATTGAGTTTAAATAGAAGGGAAACGAGATTGTATGTGTGCTTCTTGAATCGCGAGCGTGAAGGTTGCTAGGTAGAAATTTAAGAACCGCGCGTTTCGGCCTGTGTGCCTATTTCGGCAGTTCATTGAATCTTCAACTGCTTAATCAGTAAGCTTGCTGAATCTCAGCTGTATTTTAGAACGCGGTTAAGTT